GACAGTAGTTCTGACACACACTCACACACTCCTCTCTGTCCTCCAGATAAGCCTGGTTGCAAAAGAGGTCCAGTGAAGGGTGTGGCCTAGGGAGAGTTCCAAGACCACAACATTGCTTCAGGGATGGATCTGGGGTGGGGTGGCACAGGTGCCCTTAGGAGGCACAGGTCAGGTTAGGTGGTCCATGCACATCCCTAACATGCATACATCTTTCCACCCTCAACTCAGGCAAGGAAGGAATATTATCACATTCTAGCTAGGCAAAAGTACTTGAGAAGAATGCAGAGCAGAACCAGTGAGGGGTGTGTGAAGAGAGGTTATGTCCTAGGGAAAAATCCCAAGACTGGTTGTTTGTCCCAATGTCTGAGGTTTTCCACCCCAGACAAAATCACAAAGGGGAACAAAGTGTCTAACCAGGTATAATGAAACTTCTTGTTCAGACATGTGTCACTTTCAGTGGATGCAGCAGTGAGGATCTGTTCTGTCTCCTTCGCTTCCACAGTATCATTAATTTGCATCAGTTGTGGAAGACCTGAAAAAGTTACCAAGCCGTTTGTGTACATTACATCCTACCCTGCAAAAAGCAGTTCTGATTGTGCCTGCGGGACCCCTAGTAAAACGACTCTTGACTTTCCAGTAGTAAAAAAAAGTATACAACACATACTGGGTTCAAAGCCAAATTCTTAGCAAGCCTGATGCTATGTGAATCCCCATTTTACAGTTTGAAAAATAATAAGGAATAACCATTAAATCTGCCAAGCAAATGTCTAGATGTTGTACAGCTAAATCCATACATAAATAAAGCGAGGAGGTTTGACAGCCATGAATGATAGCTATTTTGGGTGAATAACCATCACAGTGAAATTGAAAGAACATGTCAGTGATGCAAGTAGATATTGCATGCAACACGAATGCAATAAAAATGCATGTTTGTCTGAAGCTAAGTGGCAGAGTAAGGCTAGAAGAAATTACATTTAAAACTCAGCGATCTCATTGCAAAGAAAAAAGAAAAAAGTGTGCCTTTGATGATTATATTTACAATTTTATATCACCCCGTGCTTCTTTATTCAGGATAAATCATAGCTGCCTTCACTGACCCAAATCCCATTTGCAACAATTATCTTCTGTAATATAATGATATGTCTGCATGCTACTGCAGTAAACAGAAGGGGGGGGGAGAGACTCCTTTAGGGTACCCATCATCAATTAAAAAGTGGCATATTAAACTTCTTAAAACCTTTGTAATCTGCAGTATAAAAGCACATTTTATGTAAGGGGATAATTTAGCATCCATAACCTCATTAAGTGAAGTGAATGACAACTGTATTCTTGGCGTAAAAGGCATCTCGGCGAGCGGGTAATGTCCCACACTTTAGAGAAGGAACCTTATTGGAAAAGTTGTTATACAGGCTTCTCCTGGATCATAAATCCAGCTAATGTTATGAGCTAAATTCTGTTCATAACGCACACATGTGTACTTTCACATGGCATAAATTTTTCCTCTGTTGATTTCAGTGGAAAAACCACTGGCTTCAATCGGGCTGCAATTTCATCCATGGAAGCTATTTGTACAAGGATTTATAGCTAGGGTAAGCAAGTGGTCTGTTTTTACGTTTCCAATTTCCAATCATGTGATGAACAGCTCCTTATGTTCAATTTTTGAAAAGTATACAAGCGGGTTGTCAGGAAATGGCTTATGACACACAGATTACCACTCCTGTGGGCAACAGAGGCAACTTGGGACATTTTGCTGCCAAAGTGAAGGACAGGATCCACCCCACTCCACCACAAAGGGCCTTCCATCAACACAAGCCAGCCAGAACGGCAGCTGAATTTCATTTCAGCACCACAGACAGGAGAACAACTCTCCACACGGGAGCAGGGAACCTCATGGCGAGATGTGGCCCCTCAAAGGTCTACACCTGTGCACCTGTTGATAGGCAACTTTACAGCCCTGATCCTCCCCCCCCCCCGATGATTCATTACATTTAAAAACAGCACTTGGTCCAAACATCCTTTCTAAGAGGGGACACTTTCAAACAGAGGACCATGCTCAGTAAAGGAAGATACACGGGGTTGTATCCAGCATTAGTCCTACCCAGAGTAGGCCCATTAAATGGAATAGGCAAGACATACCAAGGCCCATTCATTTCAATCTACTCTGATTTAAGTTGGCTACAACCCATGGCCCTTCTGTGCCAAATAATCTTCCCCACTCCTTGTGGTGCCCCCGACTCTGATCAGGTGGGCCACATGGCTCCTATTTGAAATTTTAAAAGGAGCCACACAATCAGAAAACACACATTTCACACAACATGCCATTTGTCCCCCAATTCCAGCATCAACCACCTCTGTCTTCACGAAAAGAATTCATCTACGGTTGGCATGTATTGGTTTCCTTTTCAGTTTCTCTCCTTTTTTTCATTGGATATGCAATGACGCTGAATGTTGGAAGATTCAGGACAGATAAAAAAGAAGTACTTATTTATGCAGTTAAACTATGGAACTCATTCCCACGAGAGGCAGTGACAACCACCAACTTGGATGGCTTTAAAAGAGGATCAGACAAATTCATGGATAAGGCTATATATTACACTGGGGGGACCAAGGTAGATATGAAGTGGGAGCCATGTCTATTATTCTAGTGTCTAAGACATATGAACATGGGTAGTATAATAATTTGAAGTCTGGTCCCATCCCACAGACTGGTGACCCTAAGCAACCTAGCCCCTTAAGCATTTTGTACCAGGTGCCCTGACACCTTGAGGACTATCCCCTTGTGCAGGTATTTCAGTACAGTACAGTGTAAGCTGAAGGTTCGTGGCCTCGGCTTTCACATGGCCCGGCTCTTTTGTTCTGGGGGAGGCGGGGGGAAAGGACTTTCAGCAAACATGGGAAATGAGAAGAAAAGCAGAAGTGGGGGGAAATGAGATCCCTCTACAATGAGCGGGGAAGGAAAGCATTGTGTTTACGGGGAGGGAGCACATTCTCTCCTTTGGATTATTTAAAAATGTAAAGAACACAAGTGCATTCATGCGGAAATAGGCTGAATAATTTTATATGCCTTTTAAACATTCTAAAACAATGAGAAAAGTTTAAGTAAGCACTTGAGAGTCGTGCACAACTAGCAGGGAATCAGTTTCATGACTGAATAAAAGGCTGCCTGGAAATTGCACTTTATACTGTGTGTGTGTGTGTGCGTGTGTATATATACACTCGAGCTGTGCCAACATTTCTCTGAAGACATTTTCCTGGGAAAATTTCTGGGATCTTTATTTCCTTTCCACCACCCCTCCCAAAAAAAGGTCACATTGCGGAATTTTGTCTATATATTTGCCTTCATTTTCTTCTGTAATGGATACAAATTCCCTGCTTGAAGCGATACCAGGACTGGGGCATCCAGGCTGTCAACACAAATCCTGCTGTTGCCACTTGCATTGGCAAACAAACAAAAACTCTTGAGGGGGAAAAAGAAAGATGCAGGTCTCCAGACCCCTCTCATGGTGAACCTCTGTCCTGAGAAACTGTTGAAGCATTTTGTATTACAGTAACATTGGAATCATAGAATCGTCAAATTGTAGAGTGGGAAGGGACACCAAGGGCTGCCTAGTTCATCTCCTTGAGGTGGATAACTCAATTGGTTAGACCATGGTGTTGATGATGCCAAGGTTGCAAGTTTGATCCCTGTAGGAGACAGCTGCATGTTCGTGCATTGCAGGGGATTGGACTAGAAAAGTTTAAGTAAGCACTTGAGAGTCGTGCAAAACTAGCAGGGAATCAGTTGCACTTTATACTGTGTGTGTGTGTGTGTGTGTGTGTGTGTGTGTGTGTGTCAGGGTCCCTTCCAATTCTGATTCTATGAGAATGCAGGGATAGTTTGCCCATGACTCTGATATTAAGATTCTCATGCACTACTGACTAAGCTAGCCTAGCTGTCTTATACTGAGTCAGACCACGATGGACATTTTGTGATCCTTTAGTGTTCACCACACATTGCTGTTGCTGTAATCATCATTACTAAATTTATTATCTACCCTTCGCCAACCTGTGGCCCTCTAGGTGTTGTCAGACTCCAAGCCCATCAGCCCCAGGCAACATGGTCAATGGTCAAGGATCATGGGAGTTTTAGCCTGCAACATCTGGAGGGTCACCAATGCCATACAACAAGAAGAGAAATGGAACTGAAGATATTTATGCACCCCTAATGTCTGCACAACAACTTAGGTGATAAGAGAGAGAGAGAGAGAGAGAGGGAGAGAGAGAGAGAGAGAGAGGGAGGGAGAGCTTTGCTAGGAAATGCTCTAACAGCCATTCATTTCAACCAGGGATGGGAAAGCTGCAACCATCCAGATGTCATTAGACTACAACACCCATCATCTCTGAGACCATTAACTGCACTCACTGGGCTGATGGGAGTTGGAGTCCAGCAACATCCGGAGGACCACATGTTCCCCATTCCTGATTGAAACTCAGACCACAGCAGGTTTCTTCAATCAAAACCCAATCTGCTTCATGAGCTGCGAGAGATTTTTAAGCAGAGAGAGGGAAAGCAGGAACTCCTTTCACTTTAAAAGCTTATAGACCATCAGTTGCAGGGTTCTGAATCTTTGAGATTGGAAACATGAACTTAAATAGATGGTGTTTTCCTTGAATAGCCATATGACCTGAAACTCAGGTACCCAAAGGATTACTTACTGCCACACAGACTAGGGTTAATAAGAAGAGGGTGGCTTTCATTGGCACTGTGATGCTGTGGGAAAGGGTTAACCTGCTCTACCTGTGCATCACAGTCCCATTCCTCACCCCAATTCCAGAGTTGTTATTTAAGGGTTGTTGTTGTTTTTAAATCCATCAGATACATTAAATGCTTATGGACAGAGAAACATAGGAAGCTGCCTTATACTGAGTCAGACCACTGAGCCCACCTAGCTTAGTATTGTCTACACTGACCGGCAGCAGCTTTCCAGGATTTCAGACAGGGTGTCTCTCCCAGCCCTACCTGCAAATGCCGGGGACTGAACCTGGGACCTTCTGCATGCAAAGCAGGTGCTCAAATACTGAGCTATGGCCCCTTCCCTGCACTGAACATATAATCTATTTTGGCCCTTAGTCTATAGCGGTCAAGGGGCACAGAGCTCAAAGTCCTGAAAGCAGGCTGGCTTATACAAGAAGATTCCCTACCCCCTGTTTGCGATGATGTAATTCTTTGCAGAGCCAGAGAGTGAGAATGCAAAATATTGGCTGACAAGAATAAAGCTGAGGTCTTAAATCCCCCCCACCCACAAAAAAAGATAGAGAGCCAAAAGAGAGAGCGTGCACTATGAATATGCTTGTGAAAACACACAGAGAGATTGTGCTATGAATAATAAGCACAAAATATTCCCAAGCAAATGCAGCAAATGTTGTGTGCCAAAGCCACAACTGAAGTGTGTGCCAGTTGTTAATTTGAGAGTAACTTTCTCACACGTTGACACTTAATTTAATTTTAGTTCGCTCTGGGAGGTGAGGTGTGAATTATTTGATGAATGTAAATCAAAGGGAGTTCAAGACTGGGGTGGGATATATATATATATATATCTCCTGCAGTTGTAGACTAATCTTCTCCAGATCATTTCTCATTCTCTGAAATAAACCAAACCACTTAAATCTGAATGCAGACGATTGCAACTTAGAGCTTAGATAGGAAGCTGCCTTATACTGAAGCTGCCTACTACAGCGGTAGGAACTCTCAGGCCTGGGGGCCGAATTCTGGCCCATACCCTCTTCCCCAGCAACACACCCTCTTCTCAGGCTGCACCCCTCACCAGCCTTGCCACACCCTCTCCTTGAGAGTTTTTTGCCTAGCTGGAATGTGCCCTTAATAATGCCTGTTGTTTGCTTGGATGGATGGTAGAGGTTGAGTGTGAGTGTAGAAACCAGCTTATTGTGCAAAGGTAAAATTTGCACCCATTGCTCCTGTCATTCAACAGGACCCTAACTCTAACCCTAGAAAAGAAGAGTGACACACTCTGTCTCTTCCTCTCTCATACATGCAAAGAGTGCATGCCTTGCTTCAAAATCAAAATGTTCTGCCACACCCACAACACAGAATCTTCTAGAAAATTCTTTGTTTCATGCACGATAGGTGAAGCTAGAGGTTTCTAACCTGGAAAGGGGGAGGTTATGTGTGCGAGAGAGTGAAAGAAATATTTCCCCTTTATTTTCCTTCCATGATTCAAATTGCTCCATTGAAAAGAATAATTGCTAGTGGCCATTCATAATTTGAGACGTCTGTGATCTTTCCTGCTTAACAATTATGTACAACAGCAGTGCATAGCCTATGGAATGCTTTGAGATTCACTCCTGCCCCCTCCTCCTCAAAACATACCTTTTGCAAACTGCTCCCTTCTGGCCTTCAATCCTTATGAGCTCATAAGGTTACATGAATGGATGGCTTTTTAAAAAGAATTATTTCTGGGAAAAGCATTATATTTAGAGACTTGGGGGGGGGGTGGACAACAAAACCCCGAAACAACCCCCCAAAACACTTTTAAGAAGCCAGAGTAGGAGATCAGCAGCTGTTTTCTTACATTAGAAGCTGCCCCTTACCAAGTCTCAGACCGATATACGATATATGATATCTTTATTGTCATTGTCCCATGCAGGACAATGATGGACCACTGGTCCATCTATCTCAGTATAGCCTGCACTGACTGGCAGAAGCTCTCCGTGGTTTCTGGTGTGTGTGTGGGGGGGGCTCTTTCCTGGCTAGGGATGTCAGAAACCAGAGCAGAAATTGCTGGCGTTTGCTTATGGATCTCATGTCACCTGTGGTGTCCTTCTGGCCCAGAGGGAAAGTAGCTCAAGAAACTGAATCTCAGAGGAGCAGTAGCCAAAACTGTGGGCTCACTCACCAGCCTCTTTCCACTGGGTAGTAAGGGGTATTAGATCAGGGCTTGGAACGAATTAGTAGTGTTTAATGATTTTCACTGAATGGGTTTGAAAAACCTCTGATCTAGCCAAACTTATGGTTGGCAAGTTCCTGCAAGGTGTGGTTTGATCTGGCTTTAACTGCACCCCATGACTTATTGCTGACTGCTCCATTGTGCTTCCCTGGCAGCAATTTCTCTTGCTATTCTGGCTTGTGGGATAGCTGTGCAGCCTACATTCGCTCCATAAGATGCACACACATTTCCCCTTACTTTTTAGGAGGGAAAAAGTGAGACTTATAGAGCAAAAAATACGGTATGCACAATTTCTTGTTCATCTTCAAGTTCCTTCACTTACACGTGGCTTTGTTGTGGTGGTTACTCTTCAGACTCTTTGGGCCATGGAAGACAAGACTATAAACAGCTACTATCATCATCATCATTATCATTATCATCATCATCATCCCAATTCACCTTAAGGCCCCAGACAGAATGGCTGTGCTCTACCGCCACTGTGTGCTTCTGAATATAAGTTCCTGGGAAGAAGAAGAAGAGTTTGGATTTGATATCCCGCTTTACCACTACCCGAAGGAGTCTCAAAGTGGCTAACATTCTCCTTTCCCTTCCTCCCCTACAACAAACACTCTGTGAGGTGAGTGGGACTGAGAGACTTCAGAGAAGTGTGACTAGCCCAGGGTCACCCAGCAGCTGCATGTGGAGGAGTGGAGACGCGAACCCAGTTCACCAGATTATGAGTCCACTGCTCTTAACCACTACACCACACTGGCCCGCACTGGGAATCACACCTGGGCAGAGTACTGTTGTCCTCATGTCCTGCTTGCAGGCCACAGTGAGAACAGGATGCTGGACTAGATGGGACATTGTCCTGACCCAGCAGCTTGTCTTGTGTTCCTTCAGTTTGAAGATCATATTTTTTGGGAAAAGCAAACTCTAAAATAAAATTAAAAAATCACATTCCACTTAGTCTTCCGACATATATTTTATCTTTCAGCATAGCAGCTTGTAACATTCCGAATGCTGGAATGGAAACATTGCAAAGGATCATTTGGATAGCTCAGTCGGTAGAGCATGAGACTCTTAATCTCAAGGCTGTGGGTTTGAGCCCCACCTCGGGCAAAAGATTCCTGCATTGCAGGGGGTTGGATTAGATGACCCTCATGGTTCCTTCCAACTCTACAATTCTATGATTCTGTGAACTGTTTGGTTTTTTAAAGGGATGAATGTGAACTATAATTAGTTCATTTTGTGGCATGTTGTACTCAAACTCAAAACAGTTCCTGTTTATAATGAACTTCCCAAGCTCCGCATTAGATCTGGAGGGCTCAGGAGCGGTTGATGGTGTAAACTCACCCATGATATATTTCCTAAGACCCCAAACAAAACTTGGAACTTGCTCTGGATGTACTTCTCTGGCAATAGAAAAAGCAAAAGCTGACCACCTACCTAAAACCAAGCTCAGCTTTTCTTAAAATGGCATCTTCACTAACCAGAAGATGAGACTTCAGTGGGATGGAGTTTCACAGATCCAGCATTTGAGAATCACTGAACTAATGGCCAGTAATGGTGAGTGAGGATAAGTGAGGGCCATTTAATATGAAGACATGAAAAGTTAAGAAGTTAGCTGTGTGATCGATCTATAGAAATGTATTTTTCAAAAGAAAAAAAGGGGGGGAAATCTGGAAGAAGGTTCTTGTGATTAAAGCTAAGGAACTCTAGAAACAACAACATGGCCACAGACCTTTCTGAATGAGCTTACAGTTCTTTGAAAGACAAAACTGCAATAAAGCTGTGTCTTCGTGGATGGGTAGGAAGTATAAAATAAAATGCAAAGCCGTATATCATGGCGTGTCACTGCTAACAGAAACCCCCCTAAATACCTTCATTGTCAGCTGTGTAAATCCTCTGGAAGACATTACACCCTTATGATAATATTTTCCCAACCCTTTGGTTCATCTATAGAAGGGTGTTATTTTTGGAGTAATTGCATGAATTGAGAAAGCAATTCCAGTTTGTGTGTGTGTGTGTGTGTGTGTGTGTGTGTGTGTGTGTGTGTATCCCACCCCCACCCCCCTGCAAAGAGCAAGTGAGTTAAATCAAAGTGGTTTTGGAATTTAGATATCAGTCATAAACTGTTTGGCTCCGATCTCAACCATTAAAGATTTGGGTTAATGCTTCATTAGACAATTATGAATAATGGGTAATTTACTCCACCCTTCCCTGAAACTATTCATCAATTTCTCAGTTGTGGGTCACTCTGGAAAACCAAGGAGCTTGGTCCCATTGTTCAAAACAAAAAAGCAAAGGGGATTAAGTAATGACATTCTTATTAAAAAGCTGTGATGAATGAAATGAAAAAATTAAGTTTCTTTTCTCTCTCTCTTCCCAGTGGCATTCAGAATTGTTAATCTATAACTGGTTGTATAGATGCATATGCATCCATCATTTTTTAAAAAGGTCGGGGGAAGAAAAATCCTTTCACACCTAAAGTTGAAATAAGGGCTTAGTATTTTGAATCATTTTGAATAAATATTGACATCCTGGGCATCAGTGAACTAAAATGGACGGGAATGGGCGAATTCAGTTCAGATGACTATCATATCTACTACTGTGGGCAAGAAACCCGTAAAAGAAATGGAGTAGCCCTCATAGTCAACAAAAGAGTGACGAAAGCTGTACTGGGATGCAATCTCAAAAATGATAGAATGATCTCGATACGAATCCAAGGCAGACCTTTTAACATCACAGTAATCCAAGTTTATGCACCAACCAGTGGTGCTGAAGAAACTGAAATTGACCAATTCTATGAAGACTTACAAGACCTTATAGAAGTGACACCAAAGAAGGATGTTCTTCTCATTATAGGGGATTAGAATGCTAAAGTAGGGAATCAAGAGATAAAAGGAACAACTTGCAAGTTTGGCCTTGGAGATCAAAACGAAGCAGGGCAAAGGCTAATAGAGTTCTGTCAAAAGAACAAGCTGGTCATCACAAACACGCCTTTCCAACAACACAAGAGATGACTCTACACATGGACATCACCAGATGGGCAACATCGAAATCAGATTGATTATATTCTCTGCAGCCAAAGATGGAGAAGCTCTATACAGTCAGCAAAAACAAGACCTGGAGCTGACTGTGGC